CGTCGATGGTCTCGTTCGACGACTGCAAACACAAGACGTGGAACGTCATGATGCTGGTCGACAAGTGCCTCAGGAACAGCCCCCCGTTGATGACCGTTTACTCGACGTCCGAGTTCGGCAACGCGCTGATCTACGCCATCAGCATTTACACGACCATTGGCTACGGTACGATTTCGGTCAACAGCGTCAGTGGTCAGATGGTGTCGATTTTGTACGCGATCGTCGGCATTCCGCTGTTCTTTGCCCTCATCTCCGACCTCGGCCAGGTGTTCCAGCGTTTCTTCATCAAGGCGTTCCGCGCCGTGCGTCGTCTGCTGCGCACCACCGTGTTGTTCCGTCGCCTCCGACCGTCCCCCGTTGCCAACAAGAAGAACAAGGAGCGCAACTCCAGTCGCGAAATGGCCCTCATCTTCGCCTGTGCCGTAGGTCTGCAGATTCTTTATTTCGTCGGCGTGTCGATCGTGTTCGCGCGCATGGAACGGTGGGAGTTCTCGAAGAGTTTCTATTTCTTGTTCCAGTCGATTGCCCTCATCGGCCTCGGCGACGTGTTTCCTCACAAACCGGTCTGCTTGCTTATCAACGTCGCGTTCATCATGCTCGGCATCGTGCTGCTGTCCATGTGCTTTTTCATCCTGCAGCAGAAGATCAGAAAAAAGACCAGCGACTGGTCTCGACGGATGCACCACAGCATGCACACGTGGCGGTACTTACAGAACAGCTGTCAGGCGAGTCCGCGGGACAAGCTGTCGTCGTTCGGCGGCAGTCTCTGTCTCGCCCATCGTCACTCGTTGCCTCCGCATGGCTTCTGTTGCCGAAAGCACAGAAGAATGCGAAAGACCTTCCGATGGTCATTGTGTTGTCGGTCCCCGTCGTCCGAAGAAGCCAGCAGCGTGCCTTCGCAGCCGCAGCTGCAAGCCTCGTGTATAGTGAGGAAGTTTCCGTTCTACGGTGTCCTGCCGTTCGCACCGACGTCACCCCCGTCCTGCCAGTCCAAGCGGCCGTCCGTGGTGGTAAAGAAAACTTCGTACATGCCTATACCTCATTCCGTCATTGGCCTGGTGTCACTTACAACTTACTGCTGACTGACCGCAGTTTCCGAATAGAGTCTTTTTGCGGGCAGCTGCGAACGCTGTTTTATTGTATATTTATCATGTATGTATATATTTCGCCTCAATACATCTGTTCACTTCGCAAGTGGTTGCCTTTTTGTGTACTTCGTCGAATCGCCGACTGCCCTCATATTCGTATTCGTATTCGAGTTGCTGAGTCTCACGGCTTGCCCTCGACTTTCTCGTCGTCGTTTTCTGGTGCCCATTCGCCAGCCGAGCGAAGTTGTCCACCCGGTGCGGTGCCAACCGTAAATCATTGCCCATTTCTGATTGGTGAACAAGCGCTCGAAAAACGCATGCCTCGTTTCCTAAGTACAACCAACGATTTCGTTTGGGCGTTAATGCGAGATGCTCGTTTTTCAGCGAGGCAACAACCTGCGCCGTTCTGGTACCAAATTGACCACCATAGCAGGCGACACATCGATTGCCACTTATCATCATGAGTATCTCGACATGAGACTTTCACGAGGTTCTTCTGGCGGCGTTTGTGAGCGATTCCTCGTCACTCACGCCTTAGCCAAGAGTTGCAATAGTTGAGTGACATAATTCTAACCAAGCAGTTCTGATCGGGTGGCGCCAAGTAAGTGTGCGGGTGTGCGATCTTCCCCTTCAGTCGTTTGCCTCAGCACAACGGCCCTGGCTCGCGATTCCGCTGTATTCGCAGCTCTGCAGCACGTTTACCATAAGACGCCGGGAACCGCACACTGTAGAAGGAGCAGATTTGCCTCTGTCTTGCTTCTGCACCTTGCGTGCTGACCTCCTGGCCTCCTGGCTGAGGGTCCCTGTGCTTCGGTTCTTCGGTTCTCACGCGAGAAGCTCGCGGGTTGCAGTAAATCGTTTCCACTCAGCAACACACGCTGGCCAGCACGGCTAATTGCATTTTCTTAATTTCCGTGTGTATTGAGGTCCGATGTGCATGAAAGATGACGGAGTCATTCCCTACGCTTTCCTACAATTTAACTATCATAATCCATCGAAATTAACACCATGTGCCGTCTTTCCTCTTTCATTAAAACAACTGTCTTCAGGCCCATGGGGGCACGAAGGAAATGCTCATAAGGGACTGCTGGTCATGGCCTGAGTGATTTCCCTCCTCATGAGGTATCCTCCCCTGAGCGCAAACGTGTCCAGTGTTGTAATTTCCTTCCCATGGGACAATCTGATCAGTCAGCAATTTCACGCCCATGGTCGTGGTTCAAACCGGTCATAAGATTTGTCGGTCTTGCGGCACGGACGTGTCGCAGTTAGCACACAGGTACTCAATGAGAGGAACGAGTTCTGGAAAGGCTGGTCACATATACGTGCAGAAATTCATTTAGACGAGGCTCGTTCCAATGTGGTTAGTAAATTTTAATTAATTCAGCTGCAAAATTTTATAAAAAATTGAGCATGTTCCTAAATGGGAAGAATTTCAGTATCTTAGTATTTCCGCCGCAGGCACAGGATTTCTAAAACTACTGCCGTTGCTAGCATACTTCTACTGTTTAGCATTGCAGTCCATTATGTCTCTGTAATTGAAACTGTCGGTCTTATGCAACCCATTCATTGGAATGAAAAATGTGCAATTCCCTGAAGCAATTACGGCCTCTCATTAGATGCAGCCCATCTCCTCTTAAACTGCCTGTTCAGAACGTGGTCCTGTTTGCATAGCCCAGATGCACGAGATATCCGCCTTCGGCTCAGACTTAGTCCTTTTCTTTTGTACTGGTTTCTGCTTTACCTCGTCAGGCAATCGAGGAAAATTTACACAGCAGCTTGAGAGGATGGTCGATGCCCCGTCTTACACCGTTTTTGACATCGAAAGAATTCGGACATCTCCTTTCGCTGCCGCGCATACATACACCTTGAGAAATTTATTCAGATGCGGTACGCGCTGATGAGGTTCCTACCTTTCCTGCGCCTATCCTCATGAACAGTGGTACAGTCCTCATTCATATTACGGTGGAACGTGTCCCCTACCGATTTTCATAAAAGACTGGTGGAATTTCTGCGTCGTTTCTACCATTTCTGTGTCGCCTTCCACGCATAATGAGTTTGTTCGTTCTTGAAACACTGAGACATAAGTCAGGAGTCAAAATTTCGATTTCTGCTTTTCTTATTTTGTCCTGAGTTCACGTCGTTCCAATTTTAAGTCATCTATCAAGTAGGCAGTGGAGAATAGTGGCCTCAAGGCGAATGCACTGGAAAGCAAATGCGCATGCCTTTACGCTTTGTCATGACCCTACCAGAAAATCAAGCTGTAGTTAATGATCGAAGGTCGGCTTGGATCCCATCTCTCTGGAGGTTACACCGAAGCCAAGTGGCATGAACGGAATGATTTCTTTATTGGTGGAAATCAGCAATTAATAGGAGAACATCTGCATTGCACTTGGGGTTTGAAAAGGACAGCTTTAAACTACGATGAAAGACACTAAATCGTTGTGCAACTACTCCCCTCCTCTATTGCATTGACAGTGCAGTAAATCATAATAACAAACAGTCCACCCGACCACACAACTATGTACAACAGCATTGTTAGGGCAGTTCATAATTTATAATCTATTACCTAGTCAACTACATACCTCATTAGTGAGTCTTCCGTGTCTCCCCACCCCAATCATGAGCAGCTTGTGACCTAAAATTTGTGAACAGTTTGTGGCATACAAACTCAATTCTTTTTTTTTCGCCGTTGCTCTGCAGCCGGTGCGAGAAATCCGGCTAAATCATAATGTCGATGAACTTGACCTTTGGTGTCTGAAGGCCAAGTGAAATAAAGTGTCACTTCCTTATCCGTGACAACCTACAGTACAGGCAGCACGCCAGTCGTCGAAGTACTTTGCCAGAAACAGTTAACAGTGTGCAATTCTTCAAAACAAACTTCAGCTCTTGCTTCATTACCCCTAGGAGTTGCATTATATTGATAGTTTAATCGCCTTAGCGATTTCTGGTCACCACATTCACCCCTCCCCCCCCCTCACCCACAGTTATACGGTTGAAGCCTTCCTGTTACTGTCATTCGCTTCCAAGATTATGATAAATTAAAATTAGAGTTTTACAGAATTGTGGTGCTGACATAGTTGATAACCGCTATTCAGCTTGTATTTATCATCATGGATGAGATCGAAAAGTAATGATTTAAATAGGCACCCCGCGATACCCAGCCAAATAAATTGCTATACACGATTTTGTATCTCCGGCATGGCTGCGTTGCAGCAATTGAAACATATTCATCTTTATATCCATTTTACTTTGTTTTGTCCTCTCGGCTGTCGCCAGCAACTACTGAAGATATTTTAAGTGGTTCAGTTCTTTCCTCAGTGGGGTAAATTTTATGGTTTCTCAGTGTACATGAGCAATCAGGTTCCGTATCTGACCTTTTACCGTATGTCGAGTAGCGATACGAAAGAAATAGATCTTGACGCGACCCTGTTGCATCCTCATGCATGTCCAAATAATGACAACTGCGGTCTCCTGATTTTGAGGAACAGCTTCTCAAGTCATGAATATATCGAACGGCGGTGCTTTTGAAGATCTCGAATTTCGTCATGCGTACAGCTCTTTACCGAAAAGAATCGACTGATCGCTCATTTACTTATGCGTTCTCTTATTGTTTACACTCGTCAAATACAGCTATACTCCCTTGATGATGAATGCGATGATTCCGTGCAGCTCTGTTGCCTGACAATGTTTACTGTTAGACTGCATGTTCTCCAGAAATACCTGACATAGAGACATAACGAGATCATTCTAGTCTCGTTAACTGAGAGGAGACACCGATCTTATGGGACCATGCCGGTACCACTGGGCCAGATAAAACAGGTCGTCTGAATCCTCCTAGTAGGCAGTCCTCTATTCTGATCCCTGTTTATTCACTTATCATGACATAAGACAATTGATACAGCCTTTGACTTTACGTCCTGCCGTCCATTTCTTGAACAAGACGGTGACTGCAAGATCAAGAATGAAGGGGTGACAGGGAATACCTGGATGACTGGTATTCAGAAACGAAAGGAAGATACTTCACATTTACTGAATCAAATAGGATTTGTAAACACAGGGAGAAATTACGCATCACGTGGTCAAGCCCAAGTCTTCAAACAAAAGGCAGTATTGTGTGGAATGATGCTCACTTTTTTCACTTCAGAATACTTTGTTTGCGTGTGAAAACTCGCCTCCAACACCTCGTCGAACTTCTCTCAGGAATCAGCTTTGGCTTTCGCCACTTCTTTCGTTACCGTCTTGAGTGTTTCGACATATCTGATGCGAGTTGAAGGCTTTCTGCTTCCAAGCCATTTCTTGAATGCAGCCTTCTTTTCTTTAACTGCCAACCGTGCCTCTTGTGTCCACCAGGAAGTCTTTCTCTGCCTCCAGGCAGCGGGGCAACCCGTTTGAATCCGCAGAATTCAGCGGCAGCCTCGGGTACGCCCTCTTAAGGAACGTCCATTCGGTTTATACCTTTGAGATCTGTTCAAACCATCGTTTGCGTGTTTTTTCTCTTTGATTCTCTGGCTGCCTCTGCCACCACGTGTTCATATGGTACTCCATTTCTTACAGCGTAGTGGTAGCAACAACAAGGCGGTGATCGATTGACAGCTCTGTGCTGTCTTAACGCGAACATCCATTACTGAGCGTCTTAAGTCAGACGATACGATTGCCAAATCGATCATGGACTTCTGTACACAAGCTTCTTTACACCAGGTGTACTAATGCATGCTTCGATGCTCGACAAAAGTATGTACAGCAGACAGTCCATGTTTTGCAAATCACCGCAACAACTCCATGCCGTTTTCGTTGAGGTGGTTAGGGTCGCTCTTTTGAATCACGCCTTTCTGTTTTCGGCGTTTGCTCTGACATAGTGAAATTGTCAATTCGAATAATGGATTCCGTAATCGGCACTT